CGCGGGCAGGGGCAGGGCTTGCGTGCGCGCGGGCCTTGGCACGAGGGCGAGAGTCGGTGCGTGGGTCCGGACCCAGTCATGGCCCGGGACGACTCGGGTGGTTCGGTTGGCTCGTTCGGGTCGGTCGGCTCGGACGGGTCGGTCGGGTCGGGTCAGTCGACTCGGGCGGCTCGATCGGGTCGGGTCGGTCGACTCTGGCAGCTCGATTTGCTCTAACTTCTCGCACGCTTATCCGATTGACCCGAAACTTTGACCCACGCGCCTCAAATCTTTTTCTCCTCGTCTTGAGATGCGCAAATAGATGTCACCCTGCAATTAATAAATATGCTCGGAAATGGTTCGCGTGGCTCGGACATGGTTCAGACGGCTCAGAAATGTCTCGAAAATGGCTCCTCTTCCCGAACTCGAATAATGTGGACCTAAACAACACCAAAAAGACAAGAAAATACGTCGAACGACAAAATCTACAAAACGAAAGCGAAAATGCACGAAACACGATAAAATGGACCGGTCAATACTAAAACGGACCTAAAATCACTCAATCAAAATACATAAAACACACGAAAATAAACACAAAAACACAATAAACACTTTACCATTTTGAACTTTTTACATTCTTCACCTTTTAAATCACCTTCTGCAAAAATACTCTGGCGATTCCTCTTATTCCAGCGACCTTAACAGAGATTCTGGCCACCATCTTGCTCAATATTTTCAAGATCATGGGTATGTTGTTGACCCTATGAAACTTACTTACTTTCCACTTTTGATTTTTCTTGTAAATCTCTCTCTCTCTCTCTCTCTCTCACACAAAACTTTGGTACTTATTCTGACGGCGAACTCCGACCAACTCATCTATTCGACCTCCTCCTCTCAGCCATTAGATAAACCATCTCCATGGCCCAACTCGACTCCATAGTAGATAGTTATCCAAGCATACCTCGCCGAACAGCTCCTACCATAGCCATCCCCCTTTCCCAAAAACAGAAAGATCAAATTATCGTGCTCAAGGGAAAAAACGTAGAGGTAGTGTATGACCTGGTGAAACTCGTCAAATCAAACCCTTTGACCTCCTACACCAACGACCAAATTACGAGTCCATTACACGAGTTCAAACATCTTTAGTCTTGGAAATTCTGATCTCTCAAGATTGATAAACCTTTCGACCAGCCCCCTCCAGATTATTATCCCTTCTTTCTAGACCAAATCTAGCCAGGCCTCAAAGTCCTCTTCATAGACGACCTGATAGAACTTAATCGACCCAGTAGGATCCCGCTCAACCATTTTACCCCCAACTCCATTTGACACCCACCACTTTTTCTATTGCTATTGGTTAAAACCTCAAAAAGGATCCTATTACCTCTCTACTCGGAATAAAGACAATTTTATCCGCGACCTCCCTTCCAATGTCTCGGCCTGGAAAATCAAATGCTTTTTTATCTGACCTCCACCAAACACCTTTGACTTCTCTCCTGAATGGCTTGATGAGCTTCCAGCCAGCTGAAAAAGCCCAAAACTTATAAATCTTGTGACAGGTTGATCCATGAATGAAACCAATTTTCTTTCTCAACACCGTTAAACTTGTTAGAATATCACTTGTGAGTTGTCCCACATCGTTCATATATGGAAAATAGACCCATCTTATAAGTCTAATGGATTACTCCTCCTTCCACCAATTGGTTTTGGGATGGAACCCCAGTAGGGCTTCATATAGGCTTTTCCCGTTTTCCCATGGTGCGCTTCATGATAGTGGGCCCGCATCTATTTTTCTCCAGTTTCTGTCATGGTATCCGAGCCGGTTCTATGTGGGACTGTGTGATGACGTATCCGTTTATCTAGCCAGTTGGGCTTGGACTTTCGAATGACTCATAAGTGAGGGGGCGTGTTAGAATATCACTTGTGAGTTGTCCCACATAGTTCATATATGGAAAATAGACCCACCTTATAAGTCTAATGGATTACTCCTCCTTCCACCAATTGGATTTGGAATGAAACCCTATTTGGGCTTCATATGGGCTTTTTCTGTTTTTCTATAGTGCGCTTCATAATAGTGGGCCCACACCCATTTTCCCCCAATTTCTGTCAAAACTCAATGACAACCCCAAAATTATGTTTCGCTGTGGGTTGTCTCTTGCAAGGCCCCTCCCACTACCGACTTATGTAGTTTTCTTCATTTTTGTCTTTTATATTACTGACTCTTATGCGATCTCGAATGTAGATGATTATTTGTTGTTATTTGTGTAGATTATTCTTCGTCTCAATGCTCGATGAGCCTACATCCAGTGCCAAAGAACTTTTATAATTATAGAAACATCTTATAAAATTTATTAACTCTTTTTTTAAAAATAAAAATAAGTTATAAATATTTTTTACAGTTCTCATAATTATTGCAATATTGTTCAATTGAAGTTTGAACGCATAAAATGATAATATAATTTCTTCTTTAATGCAACATTTTTGTTATAACACTATTCATTTATGATATTTAGTAACTATGAATAACATATACTACAAAAATATTAATTAATATGCCAAATATCTCTGTCGGTACTGGCGCATTTCGGTATCGTGTTATCGTATCAACTGCATTATTTATTAATTCATTTTAAAATTATAAAAATTATGAAGTTTATTATTTTATAAATATGCATAACGTAATAATCTAATTTAGAATATTAGTATATTATCATGTGTTTTAATATTTAATTCATGAATAACAAATTATTTTTATTTCATAAAATTAAGTATATTTTAAGGGAAAGAATGAAAATAAATTTCTTTGGATCAATTGGGTTGATTGATGTAAGTTTTTGCATAGGTTTATTGGGTGGTTTTCAGGTCATTTGTAATATAGAAA